GCTTGAGGCTGCAGTGAGCTATGATTGCAACTGGACAACAGAGCAAGGCCCCGACTCTAGTATCTTACCTATATATAAAAATATATGAGTGACTGTGCATGTACATATCAAGCCTACCTTGTGCCAGGCTCTGTGATGGGCACTGAGCATGCAGAAATGAGACCCAGACCCTGCTCACTGGCCCTTATGGCCAAGAAAAGGAGGCAGATGAGTGGGCATCACGGGGGGCAGCACAAAGGAGTGGGGACCTCCATGGTGAGAAGTCTGGGGTGGCTGCACTGTAGTTTGAGTCACAGTAATAAGGGACAAGGTCCTCAAGGTAGGCCAGAGACAGACTTGAAATTCCTTTCATGTCCAAGGTGAAAAACCTAGCCTCAGCCCTGAGGCAATAGGGAGCCATGAGGCTTAAGCAGGGTGACATAATCTGAGAGGCCATCTAGAACAACTCTCCTGGTAGTGTGCCAGGGATGGGAGGAGAGAGCCCAGAAGCAGGGAGATTCAGATGAAGTAGAGTCTGGGAGGTGTGGGAGCCAAAGTGAAGGGTCTGGAAGAAAGAAGGAGGGGTGGAGTGAGGAAAAACAAAAGAGGTCCCATACTCTGTGCATGTGAGCCAGAGAGATGGGCCAGGGAACTGTGGGAGGGGAAAAGAGCGGGCCTGAGGTGGCCAGAGTGAGGAGGTGCTGGCGAGGGGGGGCTGGAGAGGGGCCCTGCCTGGCCTGAGCTGGGGCAGACAGAGCAGTTGGACGCCAGCAGCCTTGTGCTCATGGCTCAGAAATGTCCCAGGCCTGCCAGGAGACTGCTGCCTCTGTCCCCCCACCAGCCCCAGCCAGGCTCCCACATCAGGAGCTCTGAAGCTGTCCCCTCAGCCTTCTGCTCCCCCAGAGCAGGCCTCCCCTCCCCAGAAGCCAGGCATATGACACCCCCTCAGCCCTCCCCCTCAATGGCTGATGAAACGCAGGCCAGGGAAGGAGGGGGAAAGAATAAACAGACATCTGCAGGGGGGCCCATCAGGAAGCAGGGGACAGGCTGCGGCAGGCTGGGGCTGCCTGGGGGTGCCAGGGGGCCCACAGATCTAGCGGGGCGGGTGCCGGATGGCGGATGGAGTGGGATCCAGGGAACAGTTGGAGCCAGCAGGGAGTTAACGTCTGCAGTACTTTGCCCGACAGGCCTAATGAGACACAGGTGGTCCCCTGGCTCTGGCCCCACCTCCCAGCCCCCTGATAGTGTAAACTGATGCTGGTTGTCTGGGGTGGGGAGAGGGGGGTTCTGCAGCTACGGGAAGGGGGGCGGGGCTGGAGCGGCTGGCGGGGGCCCAGCACATAACTCTGGGCGGTTGCAGTCTGGGGCCGCAGACACCCAGCCACTCTGAGCAGAACTGACAGCATGAAGGTACGGGGCCCAGGGTAGGGGGACTCATAGCACTGGGGAACTGAGCCCACTCCAGAGGCCCCTGGCCACAGAGGGGACTATGAAGGCACAAGGAGTTCTCTTGAAACTTGTAAGCGATGAGGGTATATAGCCTGTCCCAGAGAGTGGGGTGGTTACTTGGCCGGAGGGGGGGTAGGGTGGGGAAAGAGGGGCCAAATGGCAGGAGAGGGATTCAGGCAAGGGCAGCATATGCACGCATGGTGGGGGCAAATACAAAGAGAACAGGGGGTCTCGAGCTGGGAAGGGGCTGCGCTGACCCTGTCTGCCCATCGCCAGGCCCTCCTGGCCCTGCCGCTGCTGCTGCTTCTCTCCACGCCCCCGTGTGCCCCCCAGGTCTCCGGGATCCGAGGAGATGGTAAGCAGCCCCACACTCACAGACGCGGCCTGGCCCACAGGTTGGGCAAGGAGAGGCTGGACTGTCAGAACAGACTGTCAGGGCTGAGCCCCAGCTCTGCAGGACTCAGGTTCCTCCTTTACTAAATGGGGCAGATGGATGACATGAGCATTGCTCATCTCCCTTGAAGAAACCTTCCATGACTCCTTGTGTCAAATTCCCCCAGTCCCAGGGACTAAGGCAAGTCTTGGGGTGCTGAGGTGTCAGTGATGCCATAGTCCCACTCTCCTCACTGTCCCCATGTCCCCACCCCCAGCTCTGGAGAGGTTTTGCCTTCAGCAACCCCTGGACTGTGACGACATCTATGCCCAGGGCTACCAGTCAGACGGCGTGTACCTCATCTACCCCTTGGGCCCCAGTGTGCCTGTGCCCGTCTTCTGTGACATGACCACCGAGGGCGGGAAGTGGACGGTGAGTGGGAGGAGGGAACAGAGGCCAGAGCTGGTTCTAATCCCAGCCCTGTGACCCTGGGCTTCACATCTGTGAACCTCAGTTTCTTCATCTTTAAAATGGGGATAATGATACCCACAGCACAGCTTCTGAGCAGCTGCCAACACTTAAATTCTAAGTGCCTGAGGTAGGTGTTTGTCTGTTTGCTTTGAGGCGGAGTCTTGCTCTGTCATCCAGGCTCAAGTGCAGTGGCTCCATCCAGCTCACTGCTGCAACCTCCACCTCCCAGGTTCAAACAATTCTCCTGCCTCAGCTTCCCAAGTAGCTGGGATTACAGGCATGTGCCACCACGCCCAGCTAATTTTTTTATTTTTAGTAGAGATGGGGTTTCACCATGTTGGCCAAACTGGCCTCGAACTCCTGACCTCAGGTGATCCGCCCACCTCAGCCTCCCAAAGTGCTGGGATAACAGGCGTGAGCCACTGCGCCCGGCTGAGGTAGGTTAATGCATATAAGCCTCACAATAACCCTGGGAAGTACTGAGGAACTAAAGCCTCAGAGAAGTGAAGGAACTTGCCCAGGTCCCACAGCTAGGCACTCGAACTCTAGAGCGCCCCCCTCTTAGCCTCTTTCCTGCCTCTATACGAAACTGGGTATGAAGAGCCCAGGTGGGTGCTGGCAGCTGCTCCACAGGGGGCCTGGTGCCAATGTGGACCTTGTTTTAGCAACCCCACTCCCACTACCCCCCACAACTCAGTCCTTTAACAAGCTGGCCACAGCATCACAGGGTCCATGCTTGAGGTGGGCAGGGCAGGCCCAGAACCCTGCCCACTGGACCCTTGATGGTCCAGTCTCATCTTCTCTGCTCCAGGTTTTCCAGAAGAGATTCAATGGCTCAGTGAGTTTCTTCCGGGGCTGGAATGACTACAAGCTGGGCTTCGGCCGTGCCGATGGAGAGTACTGGCTGGGTAAGGCAGGGACCAGGTGGGCTGAGGGGCTGCCCCAGGGCCAGGTCCTTGTTGACCAACTGCCCCTCCTCCCCAGGGCTGCAGAACATGCACCTCCTGACGCTGAAGCAGAAGTACGAGCTGCGAGTGGACTTGGAGGACTTTGAGAACAACACGGCCTACGCCAAGTACGCTGACTTCTCCATCTCCCCGAACGCGGTCAGTGCAGAGGAAGACGGCTACACCCTCTATGTGGCAGGCTTCGAGGACGGCGGGGCAGGTATACCCCGCCGTTAGCTTTAGGAGGGGCTGTGAGGGGAAAGAAGGCAGGGCTGGCCCTGCCCAGTCATCCCCAACCTCCTTCAGGCCCCTCCTTCAACCCTCCTGGGTCTGGAAGGGCCAGAGCTGGCTCCAAACCAGCTCAAACCAGCTTGGGCCTCAGCCCTGGGGAGCAGCCATCCTGGCCCTGCTCCAGGCAACTCTGTGGTGGAGCAGCTGTTTCTCTTCATTGCAGAAGCACATCTACCCAACATCTGGCTCAGGGAGGGTGCCCCCATCCCGCCAGGCTGCCACGTGATCTCTCTCACAGTCGTCATTGTCACCCTCTCCCGGCCAGCTCGGAGCTCAGTTCCCTGCTTCAGCAGCCCCAACCCTTCTCCCCTCTGCCAGGTGACTCCCTGTCCTACCACAGTGGCCAGAAGTTCTCTACCTTTGACCGGGACCAGGACCTCTTTGTGCAGAACTGCGCGGCTCTCTCCTCAGGAGCCTTCTGGTTCCGCAGCTGCCACTTCGCCAACCTCAATGGCTTCTACCTAGGTGGCTCCCACCTCTCCTATGCCAATGGCATCAACTGGGCCCAGTGGAAGGGCTTCTACTACTCCCTCAAGCGCACTGAGATGAAAATCCGTCGGGCCTGAGGGGCTGGCCCCCTCAGGCCCCTTTCCTCCCCTGGACACGCATGGTCTCCACGAGTGCTCCCTCTGCTGCCCCTGATGCATGCTTCTGCTGATTCCCGAGCACCAACTCCTTACAAGGGGGCCTGTGGCTCTCAGCCATGCCTCATCCCTGTCATACACCCAGGGCATCCATTCCTAAGCCAGACCCGGCTCCCCTACACCTGAAGTTACGCTGCCAGCAGCTCCCCAGGCCTTTTCCGAGAGGCACATGGTTCTAGCCTGGACCTGGCTGGGCTCCATGAGAATGAGTTGCCTCCACCCTGTCCCAACAGCTGACAGCCAGGAGCCATCCTCCCAGCTGCAGGCCTTTGTGTGCCATCTTGTCCTGCTTCCTCACTGTGGACCCCTGTCTGGGCCACCCTAGTGTGCTAGGCTGAGCAGTACAGTGTGAACAGGGCCATGGTGTATTCTAGGCCACAGCCCAGCACTCCTCTGGCTGCTCTCAAACCATGTTTCATCCTCAGCCTTCCTCCCACCAACTTAATCCCCTGTGGTGAGTACCGTGGAACCCCAGCCCATCTCACTATCATACTCAGCTTTCCCTGATGACCCATCCCAGCCCCCGAAGCTCTATACCAAGACCACAGCTACTGCACACCACCCTGAAACAGCCACAGCCAAGGTAGGCATGCATATATGAGGTCTTCCCCATACTCTCCAGGGGTTGAGAGGTTTGGCCACATGAGGGAGCAGAGGACAATCTCTGAAGGGCTGGGAGTGGGTAGGGACTGAAGGTCTCAATAAACCTTCAGAACCTGAATGAACTGGCTTCACACACACAAACATATTTGCTTATTTCCCCAAATGTAGGCACCTGGCTCCTCCTTGCTCCCCTACTGATGGTGTCCTACCCCGAACTCCAAAAATTACACCTGGAGTCAGGTGCAGAAGGGAACCTTGTATTTCACAGGCCTCATTTTGATGGCAAAAAGACAGTGTAATAATAACATAATAATAATAAAAATATAATACTGAAAAGGATTGTACAGGGGGAGTCAGAGTCTCCCAATCCTGTCATGGCTCGGTGGTGGCTCAGGTGGCTGCTTAAGGCTGAAAGGTGGGTCTGAGATGAACCTGCAGAATAATCCAAGCCGAGCCTCACCTGCTGGGTCCAGGGCTAAAGCCTTTGAGAATGTTCCCATGGATCTTGGAACTAGGTCTACCGTGGCAGCAAGGCACAGGCTGTGGGCCTCAGGGGTCCTGGAGGTCAGGCAGGTCAGCCAGCAGCATTGGGGAGTCCATCTGGATCTCACGCTGCAGGGACTCAATATCGGCAGGGTTCATGCCATGGCCTTCGAGCCAGTCAGCAAGCAGGGAGGCTGAGAGTGAGGCTGAATCTGACTGGCTGCAGGGGAAGGGAAGGGAGGGGTGCTATTAGCGTAGGCTGGACTCTCACCCATCCCACAGGTGCATGCTTCCTGCACCAGGAACCTCTCCCCACAGCCCCAGTCTAGGAGCTCAGTCCAGCCACCTTACCCATCCTGTGGCCCATCAGCCACGCCCATGTCGAAAGACTGGTTTAAGAATTCCTCCAGGTCAAAGCCAACACCGTAGCCAGCCCCACTGCCCTTTGGTGTGCCTGAGAACACAGGGGGCAGGGGGTCCTCCACCTGCAGAGAATGACAGATTACAATGCAGGCAGACTGAGGTCTGCAGGGCACCCTGTCCCAATGCTGCTGACTACTCCGCCTGGATACCTGGGAGTGCTAACACCAGTTTTGGCCATCAGTGAGTGCTAGCTGGCCCCGCCTCTGGGCCAGGCACTTTCCAATATCTAACTTGTCTCCTAACAACCTCTTCATCGCCATTATGCTCCTTCTGTGAGCAAGGAGACATGTTCAGAGACAAAGCCCCATCTGCTGCTCGGTTTTTGTGGAACAGGGACCACTCCTGAACCCATTTTCCTTTGGCCCGGACCCAGGTGTCCCCATGGCCTGGGCCTCCCTCTCACCTGTGACTTAGATAGCTGCTGGGTCACTAGGTTGACATCAGGTGACTCTGACATGGAAGACTGAGGGGCTCCCCCGGCGTCTGTAGGTGGCAGGCCAGGTGGGAAGTAAGGCAAAACTCCTGGGGTGTTGGAGCCAGGCAACCCAGGGGGTGGCACAAGTGACTGGGGAGCCAGGAGGCTGGTAGAGGTGGCAATCTGGGGTGGCGCAGGGACAGGGATGGGCCTAGGAGGGCCGGTGGGGTGGGCTGCAGGGCCAGGGGGTGGGCAGGCAGGCTGGGGTACAGGGCCAGATGTGGAGCCCACAGGTTGTGGTTGTGGTTGTGGGCCAGTGGGCTGGGCTACAGGGCCAGGAGGAGGACTGGCAGGTTGGGCTGGGGTTGGCGTTGGCACTGGGGCAGGGGCTGGCACAGAGGTCGGGGCTGGGGCTGGGGGTCGGGCCATTCGAGTCCAGCGTTCCAAAAGGCTTCTGTCATTGTCGCTGAGCACTAGTCCAGCCAAAGGGTCAGTGGAGGGGCCCCCAGAGGCCCCGGCCCCCCGTTCCTTTCGCTCCCGCTCCTGCCGCCGTTTCTCCCGCTCCTTGGCTCGCTCTTGCCGCCGCCGCCGCTTCTCCTCCCGCTCCCGCTGGCGCTCCTGGGCTGTCACCGGCTTCCGAGGCTCAGAAGCCTCCAGGGGTGCGCTGGGGCCATCTGTTGGGCAGGGGAGAAGGTAAAAGGCTGAAGCCTTGTCCAAGTCCAAGTCTCCCCTCTGCCCACCCGACCTGCCCACAAGGCACCTCTGAGCCGGCTTCTCAAAGACTTGAGCAGGGCAGCTTTAAGGGCAGCCTTAGTGTTGTCTGAGATGGCACCCTCTTTCTTCGGTGGGGCAGGCTCACTGGCTGGTGGGGGTGGCTGCAGGGTCAGATCAATGGTGTCAGGTGCAGGGCCAGGGCACGGTGGTGGGGCTGGTGGGGGAGACTCCATGGCACAGTCCCCACTGGGAGCCCAGGGACTGGGCATTTCAACATCTGGACAGCCAGGTTCACTAGCCACAGGCTGGAGAGAAGGCTGGAAGCGGATCTGCTGGCGGATGCCCTCGCGCCTTGCATGGAAGTCCTCAATCTCAGCCACGATGGCCTCCTTAATGCGCTCCCGAGTGAGGGCTTCACGATCAAAGGCAAAGTCAAAGGGCGGGGCACAGTCAGGCTCATCATCAGGATCATGGTACTTGGCCAGGAAAGGGTGGCGAAGGGCAGCAGCTGCTGAGATGCGGGCGCTGGGCTCAAAACGCAGCATGCGACCCAGGAGTGATAGGGCCTGACGGTCGGCACCTGGGTACACTGTCTCCCAGGGCACAGGCTGGCGTGGTGGCAAGCTCTGGATATAGGCCCGCACCCTCTCAGCCCCCACAGCCTGAATCACGGCTGGTGATGGGGTACCCAGCACCATCATGATGAGCTGCAGCTGGTGTACATAGTTTTTGCCCGGGAAGAGCTGGCGCCGGGCCAGCATCTCACCAAAGATGCAGCCCACAGACCAAAGGTCAATAGCCTGTGTATACTCATGCAAAGAGAGCATGAGCTCAGGGGCACGGTACCAGCGCGTGGCCACATACTCGGTCATGAAGTACTGATGTTCAGCGGGCGAGGTGCACAGGCCACGAGCCATACCAAAGTCACCAATCTTGAGCTCACAGTTCTCATTCACCAATAGGTTGGAGGGCTTGAGGTCACGGTGGATGACCTGAGCCGAGTGCATGTACTTCAGGCCCCGCAGCAGTTGGTACAGGAAGTAGCGCACGTGTTCCAGTGTGAGGGGCTGTGAGGAGTGGATGATCTGGTGCAGGTCACTTTCCATCAGGTCCAGGACCACGTAGCTGGAAGGGGAAAGAAGGAGAGAAGCATGGGTTGGCCTGATCACACTCCAGGGACAAGCCCCATCCTCACCACACCCTTCCGATTCCAGACAGGTAACAGCCTTACCCTGGGACCCCGTAGGGGCTGACGGCATGGTATGGAAGAAGAGCATCACGTTTTAGATTCTCTACGACTTTTCCATGAACTTGGTTAAATCACTTTTGTCTCCAGACCTAGTTTCCCCATCAGATAAAAGATGGGGTTGGACTACACCAGGGCTGGCCAATAGGTTTCCTTTTGGGGCTATCTCCATTGTTTGGTAGTGGCAGCTTGAAGAACTATGATGAAAATTGATCAGGCTTGTCCACTGTCTGTAGGAAAGTGTTCTGTGATTGATTAGTGAAGTCTGCTATGGGAATAGGAGGGTGTGGTCATAGTAGGAATGTCCTACATTTGACATCCTACATACTAAGATTCTATAAAACTGTAAAATCATCTGTACATTTCTTGAGGAATAACAGTTGTCCCTGGCAAAACTCTAAAGGAGAACTGGTCCTAGGACTGCGGGAATTTTCCCAGCCTGCTTCAGATTAGATTCAGCTGCCCTTCCAGAACTTCAGCAATATGAGTGCAGCCTTCAGAAAAGTCCCAAGTCTGGCTCCCTCTCCCATCCCGCTTCTTACACAGATTTGAATTCGCCATAGGGCACAGTGGGCCTCAGGATGTCCTTGATGGCGATGATGTTGTCGTGCTTAAAGTGCTTGAGGATCTTCAGCTCCCTGAGGGTTCGCTTGGCATTGGTCACCACATCAAAAGCATTAGGGATCTTCTTGATGGCCACCTGCTGGCCTGAGGAGCAGGGAACAGGGACACACCAGAGGATACCTTGGAGAAACTGCAGAGTCGACCCAGCCCCTATCAACACCTCCCTTCTAGGATGCAAATGACAACAGCTACCAAGTACTGGGTACCTACTATGTGCCAAGCATGTTACCTACATTATTAAATGTGACCTTCACAACTCCCCTACAGGGCAGGTCCCAATAGGTCAATGTTAAAGAGAAGGAAATATGGCTTAGTAACTTGTTGGAGGTTGCACGGCTGCCCAGTGGTGGAGTTCAGTCTCTAATGCCTACACCCTCTGCATCTCAGACCTCACCCATCCCACCACCAGTTCCTTGTGCCAGTGTCTGGCTCCAGAACACATTTGTCTCTTAGACACGAAGGAATGGCTCTCCATTCTGGTCTAACTGGGACTGTCATTTTTCTAAGGAGGAAGTAGGCAGGCAGGATGGCAAAACCCCCAGGCCAGAGTTTCAGAGAACCGAGCCTCCCCGGAGCCTGGCAGGCAGAGGGTCCTGGTCAGCGTGTGTTGACTGGAGCCAGAACTCGCACCCCGCTTTCCTTCCCAGCTGTCTGGGACGGGCCGGTTTCCCACTCCCTGCGACGCTGCCACATCTGGGAGGCGACGGCTCAGGAAGCTCACCGGTGAGGCGGCGGCGGGCGGAGGACACCACTCCGTAGGCCCCGTTGCCTATGGTCTCGATGATCTCGTACTCGTCGCCCACGTCAAAGGTCACATCGAAGGAGCGGGCTTTAAGCAGGGCCAGGTTCTTGGCCGCTACAGAGGCAGCGGTGTGGGCGGGTTCGGCCTTCACGGGCCCGGGGGGTTCCGCAGAGCCGTCCTCGCCGTCTTCCTCCTTCAGGGGCTCGGCCATGGTGTCTGCGTGGAGACTCGGGTGAGGAGGGGACCGCCTCCCGTGGGCCTCAGCGTCCCCTCTGCGGGCTGGGGAGCAGGACCAGGGAACTTCCCAGTTCCCTAAACCGACAAGGGCCAGAAGCGCGCGGTTGGTTCGGGGAAAACACGCTACCCCAGGGGTCGGGGCCCAGCAGGGGCCAGGCCAGGGTCGGGGGATGGGGAGGCGAGGCGCGGGCCAGGAAGAAAGGGAGGGGCGGGGCACCTGGGTTTCCCCCGGGCCGCACTCACCCCCGCGCCTCCTCAAGGCTTTCAGAGGTCCCGAGGCTCACCGGCCTCCCGTCCCCAGCGCGGGAGTCTCCGAGGGTGGCTCACTTACTTATTCAAGGGCCGCGGCCACCACCTCAGCGTCGTGAGCTGCCCTGTCCGTCCCCCTCCGCCCCGCCTCCCAACACCACGCTCCCTCCAGCTCCTGGCCAATCGCTGAGCTATTTCTGCGAAGGGTCCTGCCCCTTCTACCTGCTGCGCCCAATCCTAGCCCACCGGCCGAGGAAGCCACGCCTGGCGCGCGCCGCTGTCCAGCTAGCCGGCGGGAGCCGCCCAAAGGGTGCCCGGCACTTCACAGGGGTGTGCTCCCCGCCCGGCACCGCCTTCAAACGCATGCGCACTGGCAGTCGGGCGCCAAGTGAATGGAAGGCAACGCCCATGCACGTAGCGCGCGCGTCCCCATCTAGCGCTCGACCTCGTCCGGCCAATCACAGCTAGTCCCATGAGCTCGGGCAACTGTCCGGACTGAGATGCCCGGGACTGGGACTGTTATCTTGGCTACTGGGTCCCGAAGTCCCCCTCCGCCCCGGGAATTGTGCCCACCATTTTCTCGGTCCCAGGAGCTCTGGGAATGTGTCATCCCCGGTAGAGGGTGCCCGTCACGGCCAACCACAGAGATCCCGGTCCTCCAGGATTCTAGAGCGGCCGGCCGAACCCTCCACTGACTTCCGGTGGCTGAGTCTCTCCGCAGCTTCCGGCCAAGTTGGACCGCACCTGGGGGTTTCCTGGCCTGCAGGTGTGTTACCTCCGCTCGTTTGTTTGTCCCGCGTTTCCCGTGCTTTGGGCTGCAGCGGAGTTAACCGAGGCGGCCGCCCGGCCTCTGTCCCTCTGCGGAGCCCGCTGGTAGGCGGAGCCCTCGCTGGAACCGAGCTGCGCCGACCCACCCCAAAATCCGATGGTTGATTCGTTCATTCATGTAGCAAATGTTTCTGGAGCACCGCCCCTCTAAGGCTCAGTGCCAGGAGGCGAAGATGGATATGGTGGATAGTGTGAGCTGGAAGGAAAGGTTTTTTAAAGGGAACGGGGTAGGGCTGAAAGAAGTGAAGAATTTTGGTTTCACTCCTAGGCGGCTTATAGAAAAAAGCAATACAAATACATATTCGTACCCACCTTCCCTTTCGTGTACAAAATGTAACATATTCTCTTTTCCTGAAGATCATTCCGTATCAATAACTGGAGGGGTCCCTCACTTTTAAACAACTTTTAATAACATACCATATATAGTGTACAATTGAGTGTTTTTTGGTGTATTCACAGTTGAGCAGCCATCAGCACTACCTAATTTTAGGTAGAGTGGTTTATGGAACATTTTCATCGCCCCTAAAAGAAACTTATGTGAACCAAGTATCTGAGACAAGTCTCAAGTCAATTTAGAAAGTTTATTTTAGCAAGGTTAAGGACATGGTGGTGACATAGCCTCCAGAAGTCCTACAACATGTGCCCAAGATGGGGCACAGCCAGCCTTTATACATTTTAGGAAGACATAATACATAAATCAATACGTGCAAGATTGACATTGATTTTATGTGCTTATTGGCCATTTGTCTCCTTTGGGGAAATGTCTGTTCAATGTCTATTCTGAAAGGGCAGGACAACTCGAAGAGGAGGGGCTTCCAAGTCACAGGTAGATTTAAACATATCCTGATTGGCAGTTGGTTACAAGAGTTATTATCTATAGAAAGGAATATCTGGATTATGATAAGGGGTTGTGGAGACCTAGGGTTTTTTGGGTTTTTTAAGTATATTATTATTATTTTGAGAATGAGTCTTGCTCTGTTGCCCAGGCTGGAGTGCAGTGGAACGATCTTGGCTTGCTGCAACCTCCCCCTCCTGGATTCAAGCAATTCTTCTGCCTCAGCCTCCAGAGCAGCTGGGATTACAGGCGTGAGCCACCAAGCCCAGCTCTTTTTTTTTTTTTTTTTGTATTTTAGTAGAGACGGGGTTTTACCATGTTGGCCAGGATGGTCTTGAACTCCTCACCTCAAGTGATCCACTGCCCTCCCCTGGCCTCCCAAAGTGCTAGGATTACAGGCGTGAGCCACTGCGCCCGGCCGGGAGACCTACGTTTTATTACGCAGTTGAAGCCTACCAGTAGCCGGCTATAGAGAGAATAGACATGTTTCTTATCAGACTTATGGTCTGTGTTGATGTTAATGTTGGAGGGGTATAATGAGGCATGTCCAACTCCCATCTCCCACTGTGGCCTGAACTGGTCTTTCAGGTTAAATTTTAGGGTGTGCTGGCCAAGGAGGGAGTCCATTTAGATGGTTGCAAAGGGCATTCTAATTTTATTTTTGGTTTATACCCATTAACAGTCACTCCTCATTCCTCTTTCACCTGAGCCCTTGCAACCTCTGAACTACTTTCTGTCTCTATGGACTTGCGCATTGTGGACACTCTATACTAATGGAATCACACACTGTGTAGTCTTTTGTGTTTGACTTATTTCACTTAGCATAAAGTTCATGTTGTCATATTAGCACTAATTTTTATGGCCAAATAGATTGCATTGTTTAGATAAAACATTTTGTTTGTCCATCAGTTTATGAATATTTGGGTTGTTTCCACTTTTTGGCTATTATGAATAATGCTTCTGAGAACATTTGGGTACGAGTTTTTTTGTGGATATGTTTTCATTTCTCTTGGGAGTGGGATTGCTGGGTCACATGGTAAATTATAAACTTCTTGAGAAAGAGCCAAGCTGTTTTCTCCAGCAGTTGCACTATTTTACAAACTCATCAGCAATATTTAAGAATTCTGATTTCTCCACATCCTCACCAACACTTCCTTTCTTTTTTTGATACTGAGTCTCACTCTGTCGCCCAGGCTGGAGTGCAGTGGCGCGATCTCGGCTCACTGCAACCTCTGCCCCCCAGGTTCAACCAATTCTTCTGCCTCAGCTTCCCGAGTAGTTAGGATTACAGGTCCCCACCATCATGCCCGGCTAATTTTTGTATTTTTAAATAGAGATGAGATTTGACCATGTTGGACAGGCTGATCTCAAACTCCTGACCTCAAGTGATCCATCTGCCTCAGCCTCCCAAAGTTCTGGGATTACAGGCATGAGCCACGGTACCCAGCCTTATTATTATTATTATTTTTAAATTATAGCCATCCTAGTGGGTGTGAAGTGATAGGTCATTGTAGTTTTGATTTGCATTTCCCTAATGACTAAGGATGTTTTCACGGCTTATTGGCCATTTGTCTCCTTTGGGGAAATGTCTGTTCAATATCTATTCAAATCCTTTGCCTTTTTTTTTTTTTTCTTTTTTCTTTTTGAGACAGGGTTTCACTCCAGCCCAGGCTGGAGTGCAGTGGCAGGATCTCGGCTCACTACAACCTCCGCCTCCCAAGCTCAAGTGATTCTCCTGCCTCAGCCTCCCAAGTAACTAGCACTACAGGTGCACATCGTTGCACCCAGCTAATTTTTGTATTTTTGGCAGAGACAGGGTCTCACTACATTGGCCAGGCTAGTCTTGAACTCCTGAGCTCAAGTGATCCGCCCACATCAGCCTCCCAAAGTGCTGGGATTACAGGCATGAGCCACCGCACTCAGCCCTTTGTCCATTTTTAATTGGGTTATTTGCCTTTTTATTGTTGAGTTGTCAAAGTTCTTTATATATTCTAAATAAAAGTCCCTTATCAGATGATTTACAGATACAGATATTATCTTATTAGATGATTTATAGATATTTACTTACCATGATTTACAGATATTTACTTCCATTTCTCAGGTTGTCTTTTCACTTTCTATGTCTATCACTTGATAACATCCTCTTTTCCACAAAAGTTTTAATTTTGATGGAGTCCAGTTATGTTTTGTCTTTTGTCACTTGTGCTATTGTCATATCTTAAAAAAAAAGGCACTCATTTTTATAGCTGCATAATATTCCTTTACAAATGTAATCTATTTAACCAGGACCCTCTAGATAGACATTTAGATTAGTTCAGTTTTTTCACTATTGCAAACAATGCAGCAGTAAATTTTCTTGAACATATCATTTTGCACACAGCAAGTATATGTGCAGGAAGAATACCAGAAGTGGGAGTGTCAAGTTAAAGAGTATTGCTCTTACAATTTTAGGAGCTAATGTCAAATTTCTATCCTTAGAGTTTATACTGATTTAGACACCCACCAGTGGTATGAGAGAATGACTCACACGGTGCTTTTTAAAAGCTTGGAATTATTTGCCTGTCAAAAATGGGGGGATATGCCATAAGAATCCTGATTTTTGCTTTCTTTTGGAAAATCAGGTCAGCATTTCTGCATAGCCATCGAGCTGTGACCCCACCATTGAAAGATCATGTGCTCTAATTCACCACAGTCCCTGCCACTCCCTAACAGCCTCCCCAGCATAGGCCGAGGGTCAGATGCCACTTAGCATTGTGCTTTCACAACTGTTTTCTGCATCTTATTAAAAGCAGGAAAACAAAAGAGGCTGAGATGACATGTGTTTCAGGAAAAGAAAGACCAAGTATATCTCTTTGTGGGAACAAAGACAATCTCATGTGTTATATACAGATACTCCACTCACTTGGCTCACGTTTCCTGCGTGGCCACGGTGGGCATTTGAGTTCAAGATTTCTGGTTTAGGTTACCGAAAGCCTCTGAACTAATCTAAATGTCTACCTAGGATTTTTGAGTAGGCAAATGCCCTTCAGAGCTGCCTTCCTGAAAGGTATTTCTGGCAGACATCATGGAGGGTGTACTTGAAGGCAGAGCATGCCTTGATTAAAAAATAGATGTGGGATTGGGTGCGGTGACTCACGCCTGTAATCCCAGCACCTTGGGAGGCTGAGGCTGGTGGATCACCTGAGGTCACCAGCCTGGCCAACATGATGAAACCCCGCCTCTACTAAAAATACAAAAATTAGGCTGGGCGCAGTGGCTCAATCCCAGCACTTGGGGAGTCTGAGGCAGGTGGATCACCTGAGGTCAGGACTTCGGACCACCTGACCAACATGGTGAAACCCTATCTCTACTAAAAATACAAAATACAAAAATTAGCCGGGCGTGTTGGCAGGTGCCTGTAATCCCAGCTACTCAGGAGGCTGAGGCAGGAGAATTGCTTGAACCCAGGAGGTGGAGGTTGCAGTGAGCCGAGATTGTGCCACTGTACTCCAGCCTGGGTGACAGAGAGAGACTCTGTCTGAAAAAAAAAAGTTTAAAGAGAGGTACATAAAGAGGTAAATGCAGGACATGTGATGGTGTCCGTTTCTAGTAGACAGTGGAGATGTCACCAAGATGAGGAACCAGGAAGCAGAACAGGTTGGGGGGTGCTAATGTGCTTTGAGGCTCTTTTAGTCATCTGTGACATGGTAATTATTATCTCTAATCCAGGCCCTGGAGACCTTCCTGAGCCCCAGAACCTTACCCTCATTCAGGGAGGTCCATCACGGCAGTCGGCCTCCCTTTTTGTCAGTCCCAGCATGGGTTCCAGGGTAGCCTCCCATTGGACAGGCTCAGCATGGGGGAGAGGGGTATGCTGATTGGCCAGACCCGAATCACCTGTCCACCTCTGGAAGTGAGGCAGGGAATCCAGCTCAGCCAAACTCCTCAGACCAAGTGTGGATGAGGGCCATTTCCCCACAGGAAACCTGAGCTTTCGGGAAGGTGGATGGATGTGGGTCAGCAGAAATAACAGATGTGCCCGACTGTTTGCGCCCCTCTGCCACAAGAGCAGGTGTGGTTAAAAACTTTGAGGAGCGTCCACAGGCACGGTGGCTCACGCCTGTAATCCCAACACTTTGGGAGGCCGAGGCGGGCAGATCACGAGGTCAGGAGATCGAGACCATCCTGGCTAACACGGTGAAACCCTGTCTCTACTAAAAATACAAAAAAAAAAAAAAAAGTTAGCCAGGCGTGGTGGCGAGCACCTGTAGTCCCAGCTACTCGGGAGGCTGAGGCAGGAGAATAGTGCGAATCCAGGAGGCGGAGCTTGCAATAAGCCAAGATTGCGCCACTGCACTCCAGCCTGGGCGACAGAGGGAGACTCCATCTCAAAACAAACAAAAAAAAACTTTGAGGAGTGCAGTTGGATTGTCCAAGTGGAGTGCCGCTCTGCTGATGTTACTGCCTCCCTTCCAATCCCTTGCTCCTACGTTTTACAGAGCCGCACTTTGGTTTCAGAAACACCTGGGTTTGAATCCAGCTCTGTCACATGGAGGCCAGGGCATCCTTTCTTGTCTGTGCTGTGTGCTGGGGTCAGAGC